ATCCTTTTGGATTCTCTTGGATTCTTTGAGATCCTTTTGGATCCTTTTGGATTCTCTTGGATTCTTTGAGATCCTTTTGGATCCTAGGATCTCAAAGGATCCAAGCTGGAATCCAAAAGGATCCGGAGGATCCAAGAGGATCCAAAAGGATCCAAAAGGATCCAAAGGATCCGAGGATCCGCTTTTTCCCCCTTGCATTGCATTTCTCTCAAAAATCAACTTTTCGACAAAGTAAGTAGAACTTTGAGATCCTTTTCATTTTCATGACGAGTATTGTCTAAGTTAGTACAAACAATTTAGATCAATTAAATAAAAAGAAAACAACTCATTTCGTGTACAAAAGTATCAACAAGATTTTTAGAGAAAAATACAATCTTATTGATTGATTTATTTTAGTTTCATAGGAACATGACGATCTTTTTAACATTATTCATATGTGATAAGATGATGTTTGCTAAGGATAAATTTGATTGATTTTATTAATCACATTAATAAATGAAATCGCTATCAAGAAAACTTCAAGAATCATCAGTGATGATTATGGTAAAAGTGCTGTTCATAAATTATTTAAAAAAAAACAAATATGGTTAATGACATATATCAAGTTTTATAATATGATTAATTTTCCGAGAAAAAAAAACATCGATTGAATCGCTCAGGAGTTTGTTGAACTTTTAAAACATATCAATATTAATCGGAAATAGCGAATTTTTTTCTTCAGCATACAAATACTATTTAATGAATTTTTTGATATATATTTACTTTTAGATAATAATCTACAATAACTAAAACAAAAATAAAGTAAATATAATAATAATAATAAAAATTTACATTTGTGTAAATTCTTCATCGACTACTTGAATAACTCTGAGGTCGAATAGATTAGAGAACTAAACAGAATAAAAGGAAATAGAAACTCTAGTAAAGTCATATATATACGTTGTGTTTTTTTGAGAAAGAAAAAATAAATGATAATATGGTTTTTACAGTGATAATTTTCAATGTCAATGCAAAACATGAAGAAGTTGAACAACAAACTGAACTTATGTACAAAGATAATACAATATGGACTGCAGTGTTCAATGCAGATGAAAATGCAATTAACCGTTTAATCGATGCTGATCCAAATATTATTATGTCGAGAGGTGCCGTTGGTGAGTGTCCCATTCATATGTTATTTCTATATGGAACAGATAAACATTTGAAAATTGCTCGAGATCTTATTATACGATTTCCAATGATCATGACACAAATTTATAATAAACCGGTAAATAGAGAGATATATTCATTTTTTATTAAGATGATATCATAGAAATTATTTAGAAATATTATGGTGAAAATATTTTTCATATTGCTATTGTAAAACGTAATCTAGATATGGTTAAATGGTTACTTAGTGATATTCATTCCGAGAACAATCGACAACAATTATTAGCAGCTACTGCTACTGGTGACTTCTTCAAAATGTAATACATTTTTCATCTATCATTTATTATATAAGTGTATTTTTAGAGGTCAACCAACTTACTATGGTGAAACTCCATTAGCATTTGCTTGTTGTACTAATCAATGGAATATTTCTGAAATCTTACTCAAACATGGTGCTGATATGAATGTGGTTAGTAGAGAAAGAAACAAAGTTTTTTTTGTTGTTGTTGTTGTTCTTCTTCTTCTTCTAATCAAAATTCATTTAAGGAAATTCTGACCTTGTTTTGTTTGTATTTAAATATAGATGGACAGTAATGGTAATACTATTTTACATATGCTTGTTATTCGTAACTTACGCGATATGTATACCAAATTTAAATCATATTGGATCGAACATCAAGCTATTACTAAGAGTACAACAGTTGAAAACTCAATATTATTGAAACCTTTAAATTTATGGAATCGTCTAAATAAAGATAATTTGACACCATTAACTTTAGCAGCTGATATAGGTCAATCTGATACATTGTCATGGTTACTTGATGAACGTAAAAAAATACAATGGTCTTATGGTAATCTTTCATGTGTATTACATCCTCTTGATCAACTTGATGTTAGTATTCAAGAAAAGGTAATGAAATTAATTTATATTGATTGTTTTATCCATATTATTTTTTATTCAGGATAAAAAACATCCTCTATGTGTACTTGAAGTAATGATAAAAAATAATGATTCAAAATTAGTAAATCCAATTATTATATCTTTAATCGAAAAAAAATGGAAACATTTTGCTTATCGAATACTTATTCGACGTTTTTTCTTTACACTTATTTATCTTCTTATTTTTCTTGCTACAACAATATTAGAACAAACACGAATAGAAATGGTAATTTAACAAGGAAACATAATTTTTGGTCAGTAAAATAAATGAAATGATCAGTTTTTTTTATATACAATTATCAGTAAAAACCTCAAATTCGGTTCAGTAAAAAATTCAAATTTGCTCAGTAAAAAAACGAGATTTTATCAGTAGAAACAATAATTACAAATTCAAGAAAGCATTAAAATAGAAATATAGAGAATTGAATGGAAAAAAAAGAGAATGAAAATCGAATCACTGTACTAATAAAGTAGGTTTAACCTTTGCTGATCTATTTCTAATTATCTATTTCGGCTTCATAACACCATCGTTGTATAATTCTTCGATAAAATTTTTAATCTTTTCATCAATACCACGACCTTTGTTATCATAACGATCGCGGTCACGCTCAGTTTTGTAACAAGTAACTTTGTCATTTTCTGCAGAAATACTTGATTTTTTAATCCATGACGTTTCATTTTCCTATATCGATGATAAAATTTTCGTCCATGTTCTGTATAATTTATGTATATTTTATTGATTTTATAATTTTTTTGCTTACTAACCATTTCATTTATTCTACTGACTACTAAAATGATAGCCATTTAACAAAACATTATATTTTATTATGAAATGTAATTTTAGATAATAGATATAAACAATAAAACAGGAATAATTAATGACAAAGATTCAAATATGCCTTATCGAATAGCCTATATAATCGGGAATACAATTGTAATATCAGGTGTTCTATTCAAAGGTGCCTGTGAAATAAAGGAGATGTATATATTGGGTTTGAGAAATTATGTGTATAGTACGGTAACTAATTAATTTTTAATTCTTCAACTTTCAATGGATTATTCTTGATTAATAGGGATCAGTTTTTCTTGAAAATCTTTTATCATGTTCATTTTGTTTATGTATTTTAATTGTTCAATTTCTTCGTCTATTTAAAATACGACATGAAACTGTTATTTATGCTTTTGCTTGTCTTCTTGGATGGATTTATATGTTTTTTTTCATAATGCCATTTCGATTTACTGGTCCATTTGTTATTATGATTTATAAAATGTTATTTAATGATGTTCTTCGTTTTTGTATTATATATATAATTTTTCTTGCTGGTTTCTCTCAATCATATTTTGTTTTATTCAATAGAAATGGTAAATTTTTAATGAAATACTATTTTAGATAAATGATCTCTATTTGGATTTATTGTAGGATTACAAGGTTATTTGTCAAGTGTCAAACATTGTTTTTTAGGTTTATTAGGAGACTTTCATTTAGAACATTACGTTAAAGAACAATATTTATGGGCCGGTGCTTTATTATTTATATTATATGTTGTAATTATTACTATTCTTCTATTAAATTTACTCATTGCTATGATGGGTGACACATATAAAGATGTGAAAAGAAGTGCAAGACAATTATGGTTTGTTTTATTGATTTTTCATCTTCTTTTTTTTTCTATTATTATTTTGTTTTTTTTATAAAAATAAAAGGCATTTGGAACGAACACGTATTGTACTTGATATTGAAAGTGGGATATCAGTATCTAAACGTCAATCATCTATCAACAAATATTGGGTAGATATACAAGGTGAACGTTATTTACAAGTTGAACAAATGGACGATGATATTTTCAATCTCATAGAAAATCAAAACACATAATAATAAAAATGTTTTAAAAAAAACTTGTCAGTGCAGTTTCCTCTGAAAGCTAAAATGTGAAACTAACGGTAATTTATTTTTAATAAAAATGTCAAATAAACAATTCAAAATTAAAATTATTTTGATAAATGATACACGCGCTATGATTTTTAGCCCATGCTATTGAGTATAGCCTACGCTCAAATGGATAAGCTTATACTTTTCATGTGGGTGGGGTGTGGGTGTGGGGTGGGGGTGTGGGTGTGGGTGGGTGTAGGTGTGGGTGTGGGTGGGTGTGTGGGTGTGGGTGGGTGTGGGATGTGGGTGGGTGTGAGGTGTGCATGGGTGTAGATGTGGGTGTGGAATGTGGATGTTGGATGTGGGTGTGGGTGTGGGTCTTCCCTTCATCCATTCACACCCACATTGACACCCACACTCACGCCCACACTCACACCCACACCCACACACCCAGATCCACCCACACCCCACATCCACACCCACACTCACGCCCACACTCACACCCACACCCCACACCCACCCACACCCATCCCACACCCACACCGACCCACACGCACACCCAGACCCACACCCACACCCACCCGCACCCACAACCCACACCCACCCACACCCAGAGGGATTTCGAGTATATATAAGTCCACTTAGTTTTCAATGCTGAATCCGAATCTGATATTAGTTTGAACTCATACTAGAACTTTTTCAAAAAACAGGTACATTATGAGTGAAAAATGGCCATAAATCATACCCCTAGCATGTTTTGGTTGGAAATTTTCCTAAGGGCCAAGTTTTTAAGACTTTATAAAATATACGATTTTGTAGCTTTTGAAAAGCGCTATCGAATGAACTATACCAGAATTTTGGTACCTTTAATTTATTCGATGAAATATTTGTTGAAAGATAAAAATTACTGATAAATATAGGCCATATGTCAATAGTGTCTAATAATATGCCAGATTTTGTTCTGACTGAATCGAACGAGGAACTATTAATTCTTATATAGAACTAAAGCCCCATCAAGAAGCTATCAAATACTTAATTTCACGACCATTTTTCCATATCAACTTATACCAAAACTGGGTCGACCATGGATATGATCGATTATTGGATTAGTGTCAAAAAATGAGTAACTTTGTAAATAGCTTTTCGCTTCAAAAACTCGATCGAAACCCCATGAAAATAGTATCAAAACGTTCATTTTAACTTGCTCTATCAAATGATGTATGATTCAATAGGGTTATCCCGAACAATTCCTAATGGGCCGATTTGGCTTCTTATGTGCCCCCGTCCTTTGTATTCAAGGTTTTCCCGGTAACATGAAATTACATAATACCAGCCATTAACTATGATCGATTCCATTTTTCTTTCATGATCGTTTGCTCTCAAGTCCGATTATTTTTCATACTCTCTTCAGCCCTTTCCGAATTTATACAGATGGATTTGAAGAAATGCATGCCTTCACGTTCTATAGATCATAACACGTATAGATAAAGACATCGTTTCACCCAAGACAAAAAATTTTCGAAAAGAACAGAAAGGTCCACTACTGGAGTATTTATATGTTGTTTTTTTCCTGTAACTATTGATATACATGACATTTTAAAAGGTATGATAAGCTTCACATATTCCTAGAGGACTTCAGGTAAAGTGCACATTTTGTTTTGGACCTTAGACACTGTTGGAAAAATAATGATTACACTTGTCGTCAATGACAGTCCATACTTGTATTCGATAACGATCACGGCTATATAATATGATTCAAGTCCATAAATATTCGTCTTTTACCATTGCAATATTGTCCATATTACCATCAAATATTACAATGTTGTTGATGTTCTTGAAAATCAATATTTAGTCATTTTCACACAATGATACATGTTCTTAATGTGATCAATATCGAAGTGGTGATACACAGTCAGTACATCACTATGTGATAGTGTTTATGCCTATTTACACATAGAGGTATACACCGTACGACTGAGCAGTGTGGGTATGGGCATGCCTGGATGTGGGTGTATGGTTACTGGTGCGAGCATTGAATATGGGGTGTGAATGTGGGTGGGTCAAGGTAAGAGAATTCACACTCACACACTCATAATCACCCACACCCTTATTTTTTATTCTTATTATCTGATCGCGGATATGCAACACTGTCGTTGATTTCAAACCGACTGATCGGATCGGTACCATTAGCGCTTGTGAAAAATCCAGACTGATTCTATCTATGTCTATCAGCCTGGAAACTAGACGACCAGGTCAAAACTCATCAGTGATATCTTCTCTTCTTTCATAAAAATGCTTTATCTACCTTGAAATTGTTCAATATGATGGAGTGTTAAGTTTCAATGTTGTTGTAAGTTAGTCGTGAATTTTTTCTTCGCACTTATTCCCAAACTAGATCGAATTTTAATATAATAGTATGGATCGAATGCATTATCCTTAGTACTATATCCAAACTAAAATTACTATGTATAGATTATTAAAGACAATACATTTTACTATTTATTTATGTAACCGTCTCTTAAATCTTAACTGATTTACAGATTTACCCTCAACGCTAGCAGAACATTTGGATAGATCGAAGTAGTTTAAGATTATGAAAATTATCGATTTTTATGTATAGATTACTTTTTCGTTTAATGTTGTAATTAACTAGTGAAACTCAATGTTTTTATTTAAAATAAATGATGTTGGTGTAGAGTTCACGACATCTATTTTAAAATCAATGAATTTTTTCAGAGAACAACAGAGAGGTATTTCTATCATAACAATATTTTCTATGCCATCCTGTTTTACACTATTGTATAAATTATTGATTCAAACTAACATCGTGTATTTTTTCTTTTATTATAAGGACATTCAAAAAAAATTTGATTCATATGGCTGCATCAACTTTAACAGTACTCGAACCAAAATCCTTAATTCGTCCAACACATTGGTCAAAAGAAGTTGAAAATGCTTATCGTTTTCAATTAGCTGGTTATCGTGATGAACTTGAATATAAACGAATTCGACAAGTAGCTGAGGTTATTGTTTATTTTATCATTTATATTTTTTTAAATAATTCTATTATTTTTATTTAATAGATTGATATATGGCCTGATAGTGGTTTTGTCAAAAAATTACAACGTCGAAAAGATGGATGTTTTTATTATTTTGATAAACTTCGTGAATGTCCAGATAAAGAAATAAACAAATGTAAAATATATTCTTATTAAAAATAAAAATAAATCTATCTTAATTCATATGAAACTATGACTATCTATCTATATATATATAAATCTTCTAAGTTCTTTTAAAATCATCTGTGCGCAAATTTTTTCAATGAAATGTTTATTCTAAGTTTTTCGTTTCTGTTTAAATCCTTTCAAAATATCTCACAATGAAAAAAAGAAAAACTAACTGATCAATGTTAAATGCATTTTCAATTATATACTTAATCGAACTTGTCAACATCTACTTGAAAGAAAAATGTCTCCTCAAAAATCGATCGTATTTTAATTATAATTTATGAGAAAGACTAAAGTAACCAAAAATATAATGAATTTAATTTTTAATGTATACTTTTTCAAATTAGTAGGCTTTATTCGTTTATCTAACTAATAGGATATTTTAATATATGGCATCTTTGATAGTAATGTAATGACGTTGTTGTATTTAACAAAAATGTATTAAAATAATTTCGATCATTTACTTTTCATTTTTTTTCCTCTGTTTACACAATTTTTTTTTTAAACTTTTAAATCGGTAAGAGTAAATTTATTGTAAACGTTGTTAACAGTAAGATATATGAGAGCAAAAATGTTTCGCATATTGTACAAGTATGGAAGATTCAAGGTGAATATTTCTGGGGAAGAAAAAATTTTTTAATGGGACCATTGTGTTACTTCTATATAGAAGACCGATCAATAGTAAAATCTTTTTTCTTTTTTGCTTTTGAATTAAATCTGTCTAAACAATATGTTATTGGGAAGCTTTAGTATTAAATCATCTTATAGCGTATGTTGTGCTTCAAATTGATGTAAAATTTTTTGTTTCAAAAAAAGAATTTTTTATTATTTTCCAATTAGTCTTCGTTCGTTGTGTATGCTCACCCTTCTTTATTTTTTTGCAAAATATATAAGTGTAACAATCAATGGGAAAGATAGAGATGTTGTCTCTTAGATTTTCTATTTAAATATTTAATATCAGTAGCTAACTGATTTCGTCTCCGATTGTGAAGGAACAGGTAAGTTGGCTTATGTTTTTCAAATATTATAGATTTTAGACTTGTTAAAGAGAAAAAAAGACAAATCATGATGCTGTTTCGGATGCCTAATTTTTTTGTTTTGAAAAGCATTTCACCGTTGATTTTTGACAGATTTTACGCAAAAAGCTTTAATATGTATTTTTGGAAATATCCTCAGTATTTTGATCCTTTTATTCGAATTGAAAGAAAATTAAGAAATTAGACAACTCAAACAATGTTCAGTGTCTGTAGAAAAAGTTATATCTGTATCGAACTTATTGCAGTTGAGAAAGTACGATGAGTTTTAGCTTTTGCAATCCAAATATTTCCAAGAATGAAGTGTTTTGGAATCTAATGTTCATGATAAATTTTTCTTTTCTCATTGAGAATTGTCTACCTTTTAAATTTTATATATTTCTGATGAACCGTTCTTCGAAAATTTCGGAATATGTCAGCTTAAATTTGTTTTCTCAAACGTTGCTTTAATGAAAAAAATTACTACAGAACAATTGTTCCAATCGAAACTAAAAATAATAGTTTAATATTCTATGATTTTAAGAAAATAATTCAAGAGAGATGACCGAAAAAAAGTGATTAATAGTTTTCTCTAAGTCAGAATCATTAGAAAACAAAACAATCGATAATTCATGATTATTTTAAATTAAAAATCATTTTTTAATTCTCTACAAAATATTACGTTTTTTTTTATCAATTAAAATAACAAACATTATTTTTCAAAATCGCTAAGATAAACATTTTTTTGTAAAAGGCAACTTTTTATCGAATTTTATGTGATGTTATGTTTTAACTCTTCAATATGAATACTATCCTACTCAATATGATAAACAAATTCATTTTAAATTGTGTAATTCAAGGAGTTTAAATGTAAATAATGGGTCAATGATTCTTGTTGTTTTTGATTTTTTGAAAAATGAAAAAAAAGTTCAATCAATGTATTTTATAGAATAGCTTCTGATCTATAAACTAATATACATATTAAAGGTCGAATCGTAATAAAATATTTTCCGACTCAACTAATTCTTTTTTTTAGATTTTTCGATTGATAACAACAATTAAATTTATTAATAAATCTCGCAATCATATTCTACAAAATACAAATTAAAAACTTTTATATTCTAGATATAAAACAATTGTTTCAATATAATTCTTTAGTATGCATATATTTTGTATTACATATAGTAAATTTTATTCAAATATAAGACGATAATAATTCTTTTTGTTTTTTTGTGACATATGGAATAATTGAATTTTATCTTTATTAAATTATATATTCAAATTTATTGAAAACAAACAAACATTGGCGTATTATTAAATTTCTTTCATTCTTAATGTATGTGTCGGTATATATTTTAGTCGATTGTTGATGATGAATAAATTCATGTGTACGACATATTGTTAATAATAATAAATATACAATTCTCTTCTATCCATTTTATTTATTCATTTCTTTTTTTGCTTCCTATATACAATAGATTAATAATTATATATATATTCATATTTCAACTTTAGCTTAGTTCAAAGATAGACGTAAAAATTTTTAAATTCCATTTTACACCTTTTTCTTTACATGCTCTTTCGTTGACTGTTCTTCATATTTTTTGTGAGTACCACCATTGTTTTTTTTTTCTTTATATTTCTGTTTGTTCATTGGTAAAGTTTGTTCGTCGAAAATTTGTAGACTTTGATCAATTACTAGATTTTAAAATTGTTAAATATAAACAAAAAAAATGGCAACAAGTGACATGGATTTCTATGATACATCATTTCGTCGTGTACCAATGAATTCAGCAACAACACATAAAGAAGTTAATGATTATACTTCAACATTAACATCATCAACTTACAATATGTGGCCTGGACAATTAAAAAGAACTATGACAACAACATATATTGATGGAACTACAATGCTTGGTCATAATGATCGTTCATATAATATAAAAGATTTATTTCCAAAAGGAAAAAGTCGACAAAATCCATTAACTGTATCAGAAAAAAAAATGGTAATTTTCTGTTCATAATTTGAAAAAAAAATAATATTTTTTTTGTTTGTTTTCATTCTATTTCTCTATATAGAGTACACGTGATGCATATATGTCATTATTACCAATAAATGCATCTGTTATTCGATCAATAAAAGTTCGTTCACCTTTATCAATAGCAACTGGAAAACAATATTCAAGTCTACCTGAAGTATCACATAAAAGTGTTAATATTCGAAATAAACGTTTTCCAAGTGCTATTATAATAGATGAAAATAGTGAATCAAAATTATATGCTCGTTGTGCTACAACAAATGTTAGTGGTGTTTGGGCACGACGATATAAATCTATAAATACATCACAAACATTTAGTGATTTATTACGTGATCAAGCATATACAGATAAAATTATACTTAAAAAACGTTCATATCAACAATTACTTACATATTCATCATCATCATCATCATCATCATCATTTAATTGTTCATTAATTAAACGTAAACGAGATCAATCTTAAAAAAAACGTCTTCTTTTGGTTTTATTTAAAAGTATTTGTGTGTGTGTTTTTTTTTTAAATATTTTAATAATAAATGAAAATAATGCGGGAGAGAAAATAATCTATGTATATTATTATTTGTATATTTTTATTTATTTAAATCACGTCGACGATAATAACAGATATAATTGAGTCCAATGGGACTAATTCTCAAATACAAATTAATAATGATGATTCATATATTACAGAAGAAGAAGAATATTATGAATTGGATATGACTGGTCGTATTATAGCTGATAATTATAGAATTGAATCAAAATTAGGTGCTGGATCATTTGGACAAGTTTATTTATGTGAACATATACATACACATGAACAATGGGCAATGAAAATTGAATCACAAATTATGAATAATAATCCTCAATTATCAATTGAAGTAAATGATATTAATTTTTTTTTTGCTTTTTTTATTTAAGTTAAAATAATTTTATTTTTATAGCATAAAATCTATACTATACTTCAAGGTGGTAAAGGTTTTCCAAAAATTGATTATTATGGTAATGAAGGAACATATGATATTCTTATTATTGAATTATTAGGTCCATCATTAGAAGATTTATTTAATTATTGTAATAGAAAATTTACATTAAAAACAGCATTAATGCTTGTTGATCAAATGATTACAAGAATTGAATATGTTCATACATGTCATCTTGTTCATCGTGATATTAAACCAGGTTAAGAGGAGTTTGATAGGTGTTTTTCTTTTTTACTTGTGTTGTTGTGATTATAAAAAAAATATATATATTTTTTAGATAATTTTTTAATGGGTGTGAAATCTATGGGTAATACTGTTTATATAATCGACTTTGGTCTTTCAAAACGATATAGAGATCCTAAATCACTTGTACATATACCTTGGAAAAGTAATAAAAGTCTTACAGGTATATAAGTATTTCATAATAAATGATAATAGAAAAAATATAGTACTATATGTTTGGAAATTAAGGTTTGTAGAAATAAAGAATTTCAACTAGAATAGCTTCTATAAATGTTAAAGTTTTGAATGAAATTCATTCAAGATATGAGTACATGCTGTAAACAAAATAAGATCTATATCCGTTGAAAGTTTCATATGTCGAAGAAAAACTTCTGAATTTTTTTTAATGAAAACTAGTCTAATGGAATTCTGTATATGTACAGATCAAACTTCGAAAATTTAAAGCCTCTAGAAAAAAAATATATTCGAATAGTTTAACAAAAAATTTCAATATGAACTCAAATCCTTTTAGAATTTTCATTAGAATACTATATAATATCTATATCGTATTATAATTGAAATCTCTTCATTTATTAAACATATCAATTATAAAATATTAGGTACGGCTCGATATGCATCAATAAATGCTCATAAAGGTAGTGAACAATCACGTCGTGATGATTTAGAAGCAATTAGTTATGTATTTATGTATTTTATAATGGGTACATTACCATGGCAAGGTTTACAAGCAACAGCAAGAAAATCAAAATTTGAACGTATTGCTGAAATGAAAATGAAAATGACATCTGAACAAATATGTAAAAATTATCCAAAAGAATGTATTTTATTTCTTAATTATTGTCGTACACTTATATTTGATCATCGACCTGATTATAATTATTTAAGACATTTATTTCGTTATTTACTCTATCAAAAAGGTGATCAATATGATTATGAATATGATTGGATTATTCTACATAGAAATAAACGATTATCAACATTGCATATAATAAATCCTATTGATGGTGAAAATTCTCTTCTTTCTGAACAGTAATAAATATCTGAATTTTTTATATTTATTATATTCTATAAAACTATTAAAACATTATAAAATAAAATTTGTATATATATATTAAATCTTAATGAAAAAATAAATTGTCTAATTGAATTTTGTTCGCATCATGATTCCTTGAAAAATTACACATTTATTTGACATAAATGATCGAGAAGCTGTTTCTCTTAAACATGATTTTGTCTAATTTTCTTTTTTTCTCCCATTGCTAATCGTGTTCTTTTGTGTCCGTAACTATTGCACGTGAGTAGACACGTGCACAATCAAGACTACTGACGAAAGATTGTAACAATCAGAACTAGGGGAACATACTAGATTAATTATGGCTATAATCTGGACTGCTTAATAAGAAGCTACAGGAACTGAATTAGGACTAAAATATTTAAGTTTCATTATGAATCGATCTAATTTGAATAGATTTTGAATTATTTTAAATCGTATTAAAAAAAACATAGTTGAAAATTTTAATTTTTGATTTAAGATAATGAAAATGAAGATTTTTTTACAAAATGTTTGTAAAAATAGTATTGTACATTTTTGATAAGAACTAATCTTTGTAAAATTTTCTGATATATATTCATCTTATCTGAATATTTGATATAGTCACTTACAAGATAAAACTAAAATCTTAGAAATGATATCTCGTCTAATAATCATAATCTTTAAAAATATCACTTTTAAGTAATTACAATAAATATCCGAAAAGGACAAAAATTCTATGACTCGTTTGGCCTATTGAATGAAACAGAACATTCTAAAATAAATTTTCTTTTGGTTTTTATCATGAATGATTATTCTTTTTATTGATAAATACCAGAAGTATATGTTAATTTCTATAACAATCAAAAAAAAGTGCTTTTGTCCTTAAATGACTAATAATTGATGGAAAATCTGTATGATTTCAACATACATTGTTTAGTCTATTGCCTACACAATATTAATTATTTATAACAATTTACCGTAAAAAAAAAACATTTATTTCCAAATATTCTTTTACCCTCTTTTAGAATATGATATAAAATAGACCCAAATGTGGCAAATACATACATTCTGTCGCAAAATTTTCTATCATAATGTTATTTTTGGTGCTGGTCACCTTTGTTATCATGCTGGCCATGAATATTATGCGTCTAAAAGTAAGTACCATCATCATCATCAATGTTACTAATTAATTCTTAACTAATAATATTCAAATATAAAAATTAATTATTACTTTTGTATTATTTTAGTATTATAAAAACAAAACAACCAAGTCATTAAGAACAGTTCCCAACGGTCCACGTCCATGGCCAATCGTAGGTAATCTTCTTCAATTAGGTTATCGCCCATATGAAACAATTTACAATTGGTCAAAAATGCCAAAATATGGACCGATATTTCGTCTTCAGCTTGGTTCACAATCAGTTATTGTATTAAATTCAACATCAGTCATTCGTGAAGCATTACATGATCATAGTGAAGCATTTGCTGGTCGACCATATCTTCATATGATACATGAAACTTTACATGGGAAAGGTGTTATATCAGCTCCATATGGACGAGAATTCAATGAACATAAAAATTTCTTAATTAAAAGTTTTAATCGATTTGGTCGTCGACGACGATCATCATTAGAAAATGGATGTCTTGATGAAGTACGTTTAGTTGCTGAAAAACTTCGAGAAAAACAATCCACACCATTTCGCATTGGTAATATGTTAAGTCAAATAGCATGTAATAATATATGTACTCTTACATTTGGGCGGTATTTTGAAACAATGAATATGTCTAATTTATTTGAAAAAATTAATGAAAATTTTAATCAAACAGCAACAATAGCATGCTTTAATTTTTTACCATTTACTAGACGATTTAAAAAAAATATATTTGAAAATGTTAATGATTGTAATCGTGTTATACAAAAATTAGTTGATGAACGTGAAACAAATTTTGATTCAGAATCTGTTAATAATATTGTTGATGCTTATTTAGATGAAATGAATAGACATCGACATTTTTCAAAAGAAAATCTTGATTCATTAGTTCAAGATCTTTTTGTTGCTGGTACTGAAACCGTATCAAATACATTAAATTGGACAATATTTTATATTGTATCACATTCATATGTTCAAGAAAAAATTCATGAAGAAATTGATCGTATTATTGGTAAAGATCGACCACCATGTGATAAAGATCGTATTCAAATGCCCTATATTGAAGCTGTTTTACTTGAATCAATGCGTTGTCATTGTGCTGGACCAATATTATTACCACGAGCAACGACGCATGATATTACATTTCAAAATTATTTTATTCCAAAAGATACATTTATACTTGTTAATATGTGGTCAGCTATGAAAGATGAAAAACAATGGTTAGAACCAGATAAATTTCAACCGGAAAGATTTTTGGATGAAAATAATAAATTAAAAGATGTTAATCATCCAGCTATGATGCCATTTAGTGTTGGTAAACGTGCTTGCACAGGTAAATTTTTATTTTTATTTCTCTTATTTATAAACATATAAATCTTTTTTTTCTTAATAGGCGAACAAATTGCAAAAATTCAATTATTTTTAATACTCGTCAGTTTATTTCAAAAATTTGAATTTCATTTTGTTGATGGTTGGATTCCAAAAGATCTTCGTGGTCAACCTGGTATTACACTTCGACCACCAAATTGTCAATATCAAGCATTTGTTCGATAAAAAATAAAAAATTTAAAAAAAAAATAAGAATATTTTTTTCCATGTTTATTTTAATCAAGTGCCTTTTTTTTTATTCCTTTATACACTGCATGAAACTAATTTTGATTGATTAAATAAAATTTTATTCTCGCATAAACTATTTATTTCTTTTTTTTTTCTGGTTATTATCAACAATCTATTGAATGTTTTCTTCATATTCTATTTTATATGACGGATAGAGAAAAAAACAGACAAATATACCAAAATTAGTCTATAGAAAAGAAAAATGAAGACAATAACAGGTAGTACAAACAAATATGGATATATTGTATTTTTGGATAGATTACAAGTCTAATACAGTATGTTTATCGTTCTTTAAAATCTGGATCAAGAGAGAGAGAGAGAAAAAAAAAAAGAACACGTCACTACTTAAATTTTTCTTATAAAAAACCAAACAAACAAACAAAATGATAAAGTCATAATGATTATTTCTTAATATTTAAGCTTTGAATGAACCAACAAAATTTTGAACAATTTCTTTAAGTTTAGTATCTGTTTCAGGAGTTATTTCATTCTTTGAACGAACTGATTCAAGTATATCTTTATGTTGTCCACGTAAATGTTGTAAGAAAGCTTGTTCAAATTTAGTTATTTTTGATGGATCAAGTTTATCTAAATGACCACGAACACCAGCATAAATTACACATACTTGTTCTTCAATAGCCATTGGTACTAGATAAAATAAACTAAAAATTTTTGAGACAAAACAAAAAGGAACGGATTTCTAACTAACCATATTGACCTTGTTTAAGTAATTCAGTAAGTCGTACACCACGATTAAGTAATGATTGAGTAGCTGCATCAAGATCTGAACCAAATTGTGCAAAAGCAGCAACTTCACGATATTGTGCTAATTCAAGTTTCATTTTGCCTGATACCTATTTATTTATGAAAAAAAATCTTTTCAACTAAAACAAAAAAAATATATTTTTTTTTTACTTGTTTCATAGCTTTGGTTTGAGCAGCACTACCGACACGTGATACTGATAAACCTACATTAATAGCTGGTCGAATACCTTTATAAAATAATTCAGTTTCTAAAAAGATTTGACCATCTGTAATTGAAATGACATTTGTTGGGATATAAGCAGATACATCACCTAAATAAATATATATATATATTTTTTAAATTTAATTATATGTATATTAAATTTACCAGCTTGTGTTTCAATAATAGGTAAAGCTGTCAATGAACCACCACCATGACTATCATTCATTTTAGCAGCACGTTCAAGTAAACGACTATGAAGATAAAAGACATCACCTGGATAAGCTTCACGACCAGGTGGACGACGTAATAATAAAGACATTTGACGATAAGCAACAGCCTAGAACAAATTTTTTTTTTTGTGCATAGAAATCAATATTCATTCATTTTTTTACTTGTTTGGAAAGATCATCATAAATAATTAATGCATGTCGACCTGTATCACGAAAATGTTCACCCATAGCACAACCTGAATATGGTGCTAAATATTGTAATGGAGCTGCATCAGAAGCAGTAGCAGCAACAATAACTGAATATTTCATAGCATCTATATAAAAGAAATATTTTCGATGAGTTAGAACTAGAATTTCGTGCTCTATTTCAAATATAGATTTAGAAAGAAACATGAGTTGTTAAATGATAGAATCGATCTTTTCTCAAAATTGAGTTTGCGATTTTCTTCAGAGTTACGTTGAAAATTAAAGTCAGTCATATGCATGAATATTGCGCGTTTGACTAGTGTTTCAACCAAATATTACATACTCCTATATACTATTCAATAGAGGGTAGTGGCGTAACCAGGATTTTCCAGTATCCTGGATCTCCATCAGAGAGCATGGGTCCTAAATGAAAACTTATGTACATTGATATTGGACTTAAATAATGAATTTCTATCGGAAAAAATTGAATCAGGGTTTGCAAAAAAAATTAGCATTTTTCTGAATGTCCTACCAGAAAATGTTTCACAACTTTAATGATATGTCGTTTTCAAGAATGCCATCGAAAGCTACATCAAATTTCATCGATAGATTTCAAATTTCATTTAAAAAAAGTTAATCCGTTCAGAATTTATGGCGTTTGTAAGATTCAAAACGTTTCGAAAAAATTTCACCAGAAATTGAAAACCGCACAACTTCTGAACGGATGAATTTTTTTAAATGAAATTTGATGTAGCTTTCGATGGTATTCTTGAAAATGACATATCATTAAAGATGTGAAACATTTTCTGGTAGGACTCAGGAAAATGCTAATTGTTTTTGCAAACCCTGATTCAAAATTTTTTTCGATAGAAACTCATCATTTGAGTTCAATATCAATGTACATAAGTTTTCATTTGGGACCCATGCTCTCGAACAGAGATCCAGATTACGCCATTAATAGAGGGAAGCTTTTTACAGAAAAATTGTATAGCATGAACCTATAATAATGAGATAATATCGAGTTTCCAGTCAACCGGAATGAAGTCTAATTCATATGGTCTATTAGAAAAATAATAAACTCAATTTAAAGAAGCGATCAACTCCATTATGTAAAGATCCCCCGCCTTCTTTCTAAAAACTTTTCGATTATCATTTATATATATATACCAGCATCAGTAAGTCGTTTGACAAGTTGTGCAACAGTTGAACGTTTTTGTCCAATAGCAACATAAATACAATAAAGTTTTTTCTTTTCTTCTCCAGCATCATTAAAACGTTTTTGATTAATAATTGTATCAATAGCAACAGCTGTTTTACCAGTTTGACGATCACCAATAATTAATTCACGTTGACCACGACCAATAGGTACTAAACTATCGACAGCTTTCATACCTGTTTGCATAGGTTCACGTACAGATATACGTGGAATAATACCAGGTGCTTTAATACCAACACGAGCTCGTTTTTTTGTATTTAATGGACCCTAGAAACAATTTCGATTGATTAATACAAAAAAAGTAAATAAACAAAAATGAAAATTTACTTTGCCATCAATAGGATTACCAAGAGCATCAACAACACGACCAAGTAATTCATCACCAATAGGTACATCGACAATAGCACCAGTTCGTTTAACAATATCACCTTCTTTAATTAATCGATCATTACCAAAAACGACAACACCAACATTGTCAGATTCTAAGTTAAGTGCCATACCCTGTAAATAAATAATACAAAAATTTTTTCATAATATGTCTCATAATTTATTACTATTAGAACAAACCTTTAAACCACTAGAAAATTCCACCATCTCTTCGGCTTGTATATTTTTTAAACCATAAACACGAGCAATACCATCACCAATAGTTAAAACACGTCCAGTTTCTTCAAGATCTTGTTTTGATTGATGACCAAGAATTTTTTGTTCAAGAATAGATGAAACTTCTGGTGTTGTTTGTGCTGATTGAGCAGCATAACATATTGATGTTGTTGATATTGGTCGAGATGTTGATAAAGCAAATGTATGATTACATCCAAGATACTTTAAAAGAAAATAAAACATACAATCAAAATAAAAAAAAATGATTTATTCATATATAAATTTACTTTTGCTGATTCAGAACTACGAGCAAGTGCTCGTTGACGAACTAAACATACGAGAGCTCGTCTCATATTTTTTGTTTTTTAGCTGTTGTTGTTAGAAATTATTCGTAAAAAAAAAAGAAAAGAAAACAGTAAGAAGATCTGTAATGCAAAGTTACACTACAGAGGTCTATAGGAAAGATTGATGAAAGATATTAAAAAATGATTTTGTTTAGAAGAAATAGAAATTTATTTTTATTGTTTAAAACATTTTTATGTAAATTAAATAGAAAAATGTTTTATGAAATACTTTTCATAGAGGTCACTCGATATTAATATTCAAAAGATTGGATTAGCAAATTTGATCAATCATGAAGAAGAGATAAAAAAAGTTCTAAATTCTATTAGATCTTACTCGATTATAAGACGATTTTTTTTTGAAAAATTAGAACACACTCAGAAAAAAACTATTGTAACATTCGGAGTTTTATGTTGTGTTTTTCACACGGATAATTTCTCTAAACAAAAGTTCTTATTAACCATAGGATTCATATATTTTAATTTTGCTCATATATTCTTTTATTTCTTATAATATCGGAAAAAATCAAGTATCGTTTTCTTGTGCAGTTCTATTGAATAATTTATCGACGAAAGAGTATGTTGATACTTACTATCGGATGGCCCATTATTGCTCATTTGACAGTCCTTTCTCAGGCTCGATTTCAGTAAAAACTAATATGATGTATGAAATCAACATAGAAAATTATGATTGAAAGGATTTCGAAAATTTTTTTTTGTTGATAAATTTACTTATGATTTCTTTCAGAAACCAGCCAAGCAAATATCTATAAAATAAAAGTAGAATTTCCAATGAATGCATTTTTTGTCTGATTCTAGGAATAACCAGAGGTACAGTGCTAGAAATCTTTTAAATCATATACATAACAACTTGGTTTTTTATGCTCCTTCCAAATATCATAGTCATTTTCACTAAAATTGAGCCTGAAGAGCAGTATAGTGAGGAATATATCAAGTGGATAAAGTTTTTTTTGACTTTGGAAATCATATGATTTTCTGGCTTTTTTAAAAAACGATTAAACAAGCAATATAAGACTATTGGTTACATAATCTATTGAAATTAAAATATTTACTAAAAGATAAGTTATAAATAATAAATACAATAAACATGCTACTCATGTAAAAAAGAACGTGACAAAAAAAATACTTTTAATATTAATAAAGTAGAATAAAATAACTTTTTCTACTATTTTTCACTTTAAGAAGTACTTGATAGTATCTTCTTATCTCATGAACCATATAAAGTACTTTGTAGCACTGTTGAAAGGACTTAAAAGTACTGTATAAGCTCCATGAGATACAATAATAATATTAAGTGCCTTAATAAAAGTATTGAAAAATACTTTTCATAACGCAAAAGTATTATTAAGTACTTTTTAAAGTGGGAAAAGTATGAGAAAGTACTTTAAAGTTGTAATTGCGTAATCTCAGCTGATTCAATTTAAATAGAAGATTTAAGCATAAGATAAGTATTAAATTTTAAGTTTGTGCAACAGTTTTCTAATCCAAAGAATCCAAAAAAAATTAAAAATTTTAATGAAAAAGTTCGAATCTACTTTGTAGCATCAAAAAAGTAGAACATTCAACTTAAAAGTACTATAATATGCTAAGTAAGATATATCTCTGAAGAAACTTTCGAAAATACTAAAAAGTAATTTTTTCACTTTGTAAAAAGATCTTAAAAGTACTTAATAGTAACATTTTTGGACTAAAACTTTTACATGGGTAGTACTATCTACTAGTACTTCAGATTTATATCTCGTGTAATTAAAGGATCAATTGATGTTTTGTCTTATCTGTTTATTCTCAAAGTGAATCCACCGTAATACGATGAATTATTAGAATAATGACAAATAATATGTCATTTTATTGATAGCTTTCAGATTTCCAAATTTGATCCAAACATCATGAAAATAGTACCAAAAATGTTAGTATTAACATGCTTGTTCCGTTAATATGTGATTTAATGAAATCGCACAAAAAAAAGAAATACTAATGGACCATTTTTACCGTGTGCTGGAAAAAATATTAAAATCTAAAAATACCCGAAATATAAAAATGTAAATCTTCGATAAATGGTGACTTTAAGCACTTATAATTATCAGTTTTCTTATAATTCTATGTGTCTGGATTTAAAAGTAGCAGTAAGTGCATAGATATTGCAATTCTCAGATAGTTCATCATTTACAGTTGCTAAACGAAAAAAAAAGAAAATGATATCTCATAAAAATTTTTCTTTGAAGTATGTTTGATCTGTATTCAAATGTTAGTATTATTCTATACAATACAATATATAGGGTGTCACATAACCTTTGACTCTCCCTCTACAACTCAGAGTATCAATGGTATCACAAATGTATTTTATACCAAATTAAAGCGCGTCAAAAACTAAATTTATTGATATTAGATGGTAAAGGTGATGAAGATCTTTTAATGTCGAATATCAAAAAAACTACTTGGAAAATCTGAAAAAAATGTTCAAAAACTTTAGTTTTTTCATATGAAAGAAAAACACTCGATTTTTTTCAATAACATTAGCTTTTGTTCATTATTTTTGCTGTTTCAGACGTTTCAAAATGTGCTCATTAGATGCAGCTTTTTATGCGGTATCGGATGAGTATATTTCGAAACGTCTGAGACAGAAAAAATGATGAATAAAAGCTAAAGTTATTGAAAAAAATGCTGAAGTTTTTGAACATTTTTTGAGACTTTCCAAGTAGTTTTTTGAAATTTTTTTTATCTCAAAAAGATGGCTTAAAATATTTTTGAAATATGCAGTTTATTACAGCTCGACAAGCTCTACCAAATCATGTAAAAATTTCGAAGAAAAAAGTTTCACTCCATTTTTGAACTACTAGCACCTTACTTTTCTACACCAAAAAAGTATCACAATTTCTTATATTCGACATTGAAAGGTCTTCATAACCTTTACCATTTAGTACCAATAAATTCAGTTTTTGACGCGCTTTAATTTACATTTGTGATATCATTGATACTCTGAGTTGTAGAGGGAAAGGCAAAGGCTATGCGACACCCTGTATATCTCGCTAGTCGGAGTTTTTTTAAGTACTATTCGACATTTTTACAGCCAGTCAATTTGACCTAGTATATGATGTCATTCTTTCCTATGATTGAATTATGCGTTAATATTAGAATTTATTTTTATTTTAATCAATTATTTATTGTTTAATTCGAATAAAATTTTTGTTAAACTTTGATAGAATAAATTTTTTAGATTTGATAATTTAATAGAAATAAAACTAATTAGTTTTCATTTTACAGTTGATATATTTTTAAAAGTACGGTTTTAAAAAAAAAATAAAGATATTGTCTTCGCGTTGTCTGTCAACTTCCTATTTAAGATACGTTATCTAAATCTAATTGATTAATAATTGCACCTTGACAATGTCAATGAAAGCTAAAGAAACCGTTTATACTATACTTAATCAGTTCTCTCATAAAAGTACTTGTAATCGAAAGAGAATACAGATTTAGGTATCTATTGAGTACTTTGATGTATCTTAACCTTTCTGCAAGTACAATACATTACGTCCGTGTACGAAAATGTATTTAATTTGTATGATTATTCAACAGAACTTCTTCACACACAAAATCTATGTATACTTTTGATACAATACCGGTATGTAGCTTATCGTAATCTAATAAAATAAATCAACTTCTACATAAATAACCATTCGAAAAACCACATAGAATAATAAGATGATTTGATGATAGTATAGATAGTTTATTTTATTTTTACATCTTAAACAAATTCTAACGCTTAGATTGTGTTTAATGAAAGTGAAAAATTAAATTCTTTTTTCAATAATCTCATACTATTTCTTCAGCCCATTTTCTTCTTTGCATAATATACTATGTGATAGAATTAAATTATCTAATAATGTTAAATCACTCGTACGTTATCATAGTTTACAAATGATATATAACAGTAATGTCTATTTGATAAGTTTTATCTCAATTCCTATTTATTCACACATTCTTTTCATCATCATGATGATTTGATTTTCCAAAAATCAAAAGAAAATTTCATTCACTTCTATTACTAATATAAATGAAGATTTATTCTTAATTATCAGTAACAATAATCAAGAGACAATTTTCAATACATGATACAAATCATAATTCATGAATGTTTTGACAATAACAAAAATGATATACTGAGTTTACGGCAAAACTATGATTCTTTTTTTTCTATCGCAAAGTTATCATTTTAATCAACTTCAGTTAATATATTTCACCTGTAGCATAGATTTGAAAACTTCATGTAATTGACATCGTTATATACATAAGATTTATTACATATTGAATTAATACGATTATCAGAGAACGTTTGAATATAAATTATAAACAGACATAAACAAACCTTAATTTAAAAAAAAAATCGTTTAACTTTATAACGAACTCATAAATCATAATAATATCATCGAATTGTAATTTGTCTATGATATAAATGTTTACTTAGATTATGAGAAAAAAGAACAAACTATGAACAATATTTATTACTACCACTAGGGATTGATTATGTTAAAGAAAAAACAAAAACAAAAAGAGAAATGAACTAAAAAGATACAACACTGTTCTTTTTTTTTTCTAAACATCAACTCAAACGATGTGACAAAAAAAATACACTTGACAAATATATATTATGATTAAAAGACAAAAATATATATATATATATAAATATCTATCTGTAAATACAATATGAACAACATTCTCTATCCTTTTTTGTTTTGTGTGTCTAATTATCGCCTTGATAAGCTCGATAATATTTTGATACAAGTTTGATTCAATTTTTTTGTTTTTTAAATATAGTAATACTCGGTATATTAAACATTTGCTTGTTCAATTGGTTTAATATAACCATCTTTACTTCTTGATACAATTGTTGATCGTTTTCTACAACATATATAACATGTAAGTAGAAGAAATATTAATGTAATTATTGCAATTGCTAATGAACTTGAAAACCAACTTATAAAATTAGATCTATTTATTTTTTGTTCTCGAAATTCAGCTGGAATGTAATTTGTTTGATTTATCATATAACCAAGTGTCCAACCAACTTTGCCTGTTGGAAATGTATTAGCAAAACTTAAACGTTGTAAATCATTTTGTTTAAAACCAATAGCATATGTTAATAAAAGCCACATATACCATGCATCAAAACATAAACCTCGTTTATGTTGTTCATTTTGTGGTGTCATAGATTCTTGTTTATAAAGTAATTCATAACTTGTTTCACACTAGATTAAAGAAATATATATATATATATAATTTAAGTGTTTTGTTTTTTAAAAACAAAGTTCTGCAATAAAATAATTAGAACATATATCAAAAGTAATGACAACGATAATACGTTATAGAAGACTCGAGCAAACTCTCTCTATATATATATACATACTAATAGTTGAAATTATGCATTATAATTCTATAATATGATCAAAGTTATTTATTTCTATATTGAAATTTACAGTTGCCGCAAAAATTATCTGTACGATTTTGATAATGATAATATTTTTGCTTCCTTATGGTTTCAAAAAACTTTATGATAATATCATTATAGATACAGGAAGAACTTTTTTTGCAATGCCAGTATATAGAATGAAGGAATCTAGTTATTAAAAAAAACCGAGGATCTTTCTTTTGAAACATCTTTACGAAAAAAATGGCAAAAATCGAATTTTTCAAAATATTATTTTGTGCGTGTACATATCGCCCTTATTCTATATACTTGCATTGCAAAAAATGCTACGAACGTGGTACTTGTTTCTTCCTGCATCTAATGATATTATCATAAAGTTTTTTTGAAACCATAAGGAAGCAAAAATATTATCATTATCAAAATCGTACGGATAATTTTTGCGGCAACTGTAGATTACACTATCAATAGTACAATGAGAATTATTCATAATAAATTCTATATGGCTTTCGACAGTCAGACTTCATCTCTCGGAATAGTTAATAGATGATATGCATGATTTCATAAAAGACTAGAAAATTTTGAAGATGAAAGAATGATTTACGAGATTTTGTAATTCAGATTATATCTTTCATAAATGCCCTTAGGATCAGCTGTTATGATATATAATGATATGTAATCTATTTAGGCTTACAATTCTTTGAATGACATTATGATTCATATCAATTTGTGTTTGCAATGGATCAATTATGATATGAGAAACAAAAAAAAAACACAAAAATTATTAATAAGGCAATAGATCTATTTGATGAATTCAAATGTTGTCTAGTTATAGATTCATTCGATCGTGTTCTATTTTGTTATTGACTTTTTGCGAAGTTATTTATATCATTTTTTTTTAACTATCGAGAGAGCTGAAATATATTAATTCAGAAGAATAATTAAAGATGAATAAGTTTAATCAATATTCTAAGTATCATCATCAATAGTTATTGAAGTATGGTAAAATATTATAGAATTATAAAATACAATTTCAATTCATTAATATATAGAAAAAGAGATAAATTGCCTTCGAGCATTCTATCAAGTGTTATAGAACTACAGTCATTACTTTTTGAGTTGACCTAATTACATATTCTTTTGCAATCAGACCAAAAAAGAAAAACAAATATTTAGCAATAATTTAATGTTACACTTACAACATTGACAAGACGTTTAGCAATAATATCTTGTGGAAAATCTCGAAGTTTATATCGTTCAGTTGTTGATTCTTCGGGTTTTACCATACCTAAATAAATAAATAATTATTTATAATTATGTTAATGTTTTTTTTCTTTTTTTTCTTTTAGAAAATTAATAACCATGAGCAAGATTATTAAATACATAATAATATCCAGATAAACCAATAAATTTTAAATTTTCAGGTATTTTTGGTTGAAATGTATGATCAAATGTACAATATTCTTTTGTAAATGAACAATTAGCTGTTTTATCATTACGTTTAGCATCAAATAAATGTAAAAGATTTTGTCGACATTGGCTAGCATTTCCTGTTCCAGTAAATTTAAATAATGATATATTTGTATATTTAATATATATTTGTTTTTCATTAATTGTACATGGTGAACGAAATAGACTATTTACTGTTAATGTATCATTTGCACCACGAGCTAAACATGGATCAGCAATAGAAATATATTTTAAATTTGGTAAATGTAATCGTTTTGTATCAAGTGCAGCATTAAGAAGACGAGCTCGATAACGTCTTAATGCTTCATTTTTACCCCAACATAAATAACTATGTGCATATGGACTATAAACAGTATCGAATAATGTAATATTTGTTGTAAATTCATCAGGAACTTGTTCAGTATTATTATCATTTTTATCTAAATAAAACAAAATTTATATAGTTTTTTTTAAATAAAATAAATCATACAAGTAAATGTAACTTGTGTTGAAGCACCACCTAAATCAAGTACACCAACCATATCAGAATCAAATTCAATTTGTGAAGATGAATGTTCTAATTGTTTCTTTTTTGAATGTCGATGTTTAAAGTTTTCTAATAATATATTTGTTGTTATCCAACCATCAATAGCTTCTTCTATACCAGTTAATATTCGTACCTAAAATTAATAGATTTATTAAAAATTTTTTCGTTAATCTATAAAGTTTTTTTTTTGAATTAAAATAGTTTTCATATATAAAGTTATGTCATAATTTCATAAACTCAAATTTAATTGATTAATTTTTATTATTTGAAATTATGTTACTATTCATTTTATCTATTATTTTCTTCAATATATAATCTTAATTCGAATATTAACAACAATTTATCCTATAATCTAACATTTAGATGTTAATATTTACATTGATAAAAGAAAAATAAGAACATCGCCTGATAACAAAGAACATCATAGACAATGTATTATTATTATTATTATTTATAACAAAATCATAACATATGAAAATAGAAATTATGAGAAAAAAAATATATAAATAATAATATGATAATAGCTCATATCAATCAGACATTTGTAAAAAAAGAAAAGAAAAGTACTTATCATTAATAATTCCGATGAAATTGTTTCTTATTGTTTAGAAAGAAAATGCTACATATGGACTATATGTAAAAATAAAAATAAAAAATAAGGTTTCTATCATATTAAGTATAACTATCTTTATGACAACTAACACATGCTAATGAATAGATCTTATCTATATATATATATGTATGGTCAATATGTAATTATATTTACTTGACGAGCAACAACAAATTGAAATGGTGAATTTGAAAATATTTCACGTATTGTTTCTAATACTTGTAATGATTTTGTTACATTACGTAATCGTGCTAAACGCATACCAGCTGTTGCACCAAGAAAAATAGGTGAAAATTTATGACGATTTGATGGAATTTTTGATATAGCTTTTGTTAAACAAGGTTGAAAATAATCATCTAAATACTCAAGATGTTGTTCAAAATCAGATATTGCTTTAAGTTTAATTAATTCGCCTGGTTTTGTTGTATCATTTATAATTATACTTATTAATGGACAAACAAAATATTCATTAACTGTTGATGTTGTACCTAAACCATCAGATTTATCAGCTGGCCAATAATAAACAAACATTTCTGTATGTGAACTACCAGCATCAAATACAATAGCATAAGTATCTAATGGTTTAAGACGAGCAGAATAAATACTTATTAAATAAATAGAAAGTATAATAGCGAATATAAATAATGTAAATGCAACACCTTGTAAAAAATTTATTATTGAACGCATATTAGTTTGTTGTCGTTGTTTTTTTACTTTTTGATTTGATTCTTCCATATGTATCATTGATTTAAATTAAAGTATTAAAAAAAGAAAAAATTAATTAGATTGTTAAGTTTTTCGTACCTCTAAAATATGAAATATTCAATTAATTTTTTAAAGAAATCTTTATCATACTATTATCGAAGGTAATAGTATTACTCAAATCAATGATTGTCATTTATCCTGGAAAGAAATCCTTATTAGAACACACACACACAAAGAAAAAAAAAATCTAAGTAAATCAATATATATATGTGCATGTCTCTATAAAAACACTGATGACAAACATAAGTCTTTTTTTTTTTGATGCTATGCCCGAAAGAAAAATTTCTGATACTTAGCTATGAAGATTTAATCAGCAATATGTTCGTTTTAAAAATAGAGTAGATAACGATATACGCGCAAAGAGTATATGTATCTGGTCTAATAGAATCATAGCGTTTTTTTCTCTCAGAATTATCTCGGCTTGTCTGTGCAAGCCACGTAATAAGATATGAAAGCCTATTTGATGAGATGTAATTTGTTTTTTCTTTGTTCTCTTTCTTTTTTTTCAGTTTGCTTCTATTATTTCTCTAATGATTTTAAAAAAAAAAAAAAACAACAAGAGAAATCACTTTTCATGAACAAACACATCACGTTATGAGAATTTAATGACATTGATCAAATACAAATTGTATTATTTTTCTTTTTACTATTGATTGTAGTAATGAAATTACTACAATCTCAAATATTTTGTAAATATTTGGTTTTCCGAACAATTATTTTTTCTAATATGTCATTATTATTTAAATATATATATAAGAAATAAATACTTCTTTTTCGTTTCACATATTTAATAATAATCTAATCATGCTTATTTTATTTCAACATTAAAAAAAATCTTATTAAGTAACATGCTTACGAAAAATCACATTTAACTAAATATTGGCAATGGTTAACAATAAAAAAAACAAAACTTTATGTTTTTTTTCTATTCAATCCTATATACTATCCGAAAAGATCTAATTGGTTTTCTTCTCATTAATTCATCTAGATTTTCTCAAATGTATATTCTAAATATGAACGGAAGAAATATTAAAAAAAAAAAAAAAAAGAAGAAGAGAAAATATATTCGATAGAACATTTTCTCCTACTAAATAATGAATGCTTCTAAATTATATTTCTTCTTCATTACATATAAATAGAAGTGCATACATAAACATGTACCGGATTTTACACAATTCCGACAATTTATTTGACCTTATAGTATATCACTATTATCGTAATTATTAAATAGATATAACTATTCATTGTCATAAAATTCATTGAAATTTCTACTATGAATTACTGTCAACAAAATACAATTGTCATTAATTCTTTTTTCTTTTCGTCGTTTTACTCTTTCATTGCTTCTATCATACAAAAATCTATCTTTCAACAGAAACAAAATAACTTTTCCTAATTGTTTTTTATCCATTTCTCCTTGATATATGTCATATTGTGGACAGCACACGATAGAAATCAAATAAGAAAGAAATGTCTGATTTGTACTTAATACTTAACTATTATAATTCTTCTAATATTATCAATTTCAATCTAAAAAAAACCTATATATATATATATGTACTCTATTGACAAATACTCAATGTTACTTATTGATTCAATTGATATGGTTTCTATGATTGAAGGTTAGACTTGTAATATTCATATGATAAGATTTCATCTAAAATTTCCAAATATAAATTAATACTAAGTTCTAAGATTTTATTAGCTATAGAGAGAAATATGATAATTCATACATATAACATTAAACGTTCTTATAAACCGACTATGTAAATATAACATTCTAAAGAAGACAAAAACCATGCACAATCTGTTATCTCAGATTGAAGAATATTGATAGTATATCGATGGAATATTAACAATAACTTCATCAATGTCATTGACTCAAACAAATAGATGTAATTAGAGAAGCTTTTTTTTTTTTTTTCTTAAAAATAAACAATATTTCAAGGTTTAATCAGTTGTGTACGATATAACAATGAACCTATTCAATTGGTAAATATAAGATTAGAAAAAAAAAATATTTATTGTCGTCTACAAAGAAAAATACTGATTAATGAATATCACAGAAGGAAAAAAAATACATGTTAACATAGAACAAGCAAAAAAAAGAAATCGATTTTTAAGAAAACAAAATAATAATCAAACGATAGAGAAATGGATTGTATCATAGACAATTATAGTTAATCGAAAGAAAATATTTTATACAGTTAGATTATTTTTTAATCTTTTTTTGTTCTTGTAAGTAATAATAAAAAAAAATAGGACAGTAACGACTATTTTCTCGTTGTTCAGATATGCTTTTATGTTCTAGTGAAAGTTTGTCACAGCATTCTCTCGTCATCTCCCGTCGATGTCTTAAGATATTTTTTTTTTCATGTGTTTTTTATTACATGTTACACTACTATAACTATTACAGATGATGATCGCTTGATATATCACTCGTAAATACCACAAAAGTCAGCCGATATATGATATTGTCGTCTACTTAAATCAACATTTCTATATTGATGATGTTTCATGAAGTAGGAATTCTATAAATAAAACATTGCTCTTTATTAAGAAACGTATACAGATAGACATCTGTGTTATGTATATAGTCAATCAAGCATCAAGAAACGAAACAATAGAAACTATCTATATTATTATTGTTATTATTTTTATAATGTAAATAGATCGTTTTCAAGATTTAGAAGTAATTGAAATTAAGCTAACACATGGAAATATTTATATCTCATTATTTTGAAAAATATTCTGCATCACATCCCAAGTTACCTTTCCCGTTGACATTCGAGAGAAGAATCACATAACAAAAAAAATAGACATTTCTTTGTAAGACTTTACAGACATATATTAATAATTGTGAACTATAATATCAATCGAATACTTATTAAAATAATTGGTTTCTTTAATAGAATGCAAATGAATTTCTTCTCAAGAAGAACTAATCGATTAATATAAAGCTTTTCTACTTCTATAAAAAAAAAAAGAAAAAATGATGAAAACATGAATGTATACAACTACTCACTAATCGAAGACTGGTAACATAAATAATAGATAGGATAGGCCATTATTAATCGCACTATTATACAGAGTGAAATATTTACGCTTCAGTTCACTTGAATAGGCTTATTTTTTTGTTACTGATAAACAGTTATTCACTGTTTGCTATTATACAGACATAATAAACAAAAATATTACTATCAAGTTATGCTTTTTTCTGTTCTCATCAAACACATTCTACCTATTTGTCAAGTCAAATAACAAAAAAAAAAAATATGAACGATTTCATAGATAATGATCAACTGTCATTTGAAAAGAAATCGAAACAAATCTCATGATATTCATACATATAGACTAAATTTTCAAAAAACTAGTCAATTTAAATGTCAAAACTCGTGCTATATAAGTAATATGCACAATTACAATCGTTTAAGTATCAATAATCAACGTTTCATGTTTCAAAAAATTCGAAATTTTGTACTCCTATAGTTTATTAATATAGGATCATTGATAAAGGCATTGTAACCTTTTTTCTTTTTTATTCTATTCCAAGATTATAAATGAAAAATTGTCTATGAGACGATACATATTTATTTTTCTTACTTGATAATAGGTTATATTACTTTTATGATACTTTATATGAGAATTAGTTTACCTGATCTGTATGAAGAAAAAAAAAAAAAAAAAGAAGCAAAATTCTATTACCAGCCGAAAATTTACCCATTTAGTTAATTTTGATGCAGAAATATTTCTGATTTTCCTTTTTATTTTAGTACTATATATACAGCATATTCTCTATATAGAATTTTCTCTGTAAGATTATATCTGTAATAAAAAAAAAAAATTTGACTTATAAAAGTGCGATAAACTATCAAATGAGTCTTCATAAATATGTCATGTTTATCTACAAATATATTCAATTAATTCAAGTGAGATATCAATATAATACTAGTTATTTCATTTTATTTTATATACGAAACTGTTTTTTTTTTTATTCATAAAGAATAAGTAAATAACTAAGAAATATCAGATGTCTATAGGGTAGTCTGTAGATAATTAGACGATAATAATAATACTTCAATGTCTTCAAGCTAATCTAAGCAATCAGACCAGTTTTTTTTTTCTCAATGATAGAGATCTCTTCAAATTCTTTCGTTGCAAAGAAATTATCAATAACTTCTGTTTTGAATTAGTATTATTGATCTCAATAAAAGAATACATTCTTGATCGAAAGTATCCTTCTATCATGTCAACTATTTTTAACACTAAACATTTGAAACTTATAGGTTATGTACTACTTTATAAATCTACTTCAATAAGATTGAAGAACAATTATGACGAAGGATAGTTTTTCTCAGTATGAAGAAGAAAAGAAATTTATGTTTCGGTCAATCTGTCATTATGTAAAGTAATGTCTACGGTCAATGACTACATAATATTAGGTTCATTAGCCCATATTAGTTTCTTGTCGTTTCGAATTATAGAACGCATAGTAAGATGCATTGTCATAGATTATATTTTTTTTTCAAATTAAACTAATGAAGTTCACTTGATTTTACTGACCTATATTTCTCAGATACAATATTTTACAAAAATAATTCATCACTTTTTCTTTTCATGTTTTTCTACTATAAGATTACGTTCGATAGCCGTTAATAGTGTTATGTAATATTATATTTAGTTATCTATTAGAAATGTATGATAGAGATCTGAACCGTTGTTCTATTAAATTGGTATATGGGTTCATCTTTGATGATATCAAAAATAAATGCACCAAAATCTATTATAACATGAAGAGATGACAAACTGCTTGGAAATCAGAATCAATTATCAATTATTAAAAAGTGACAACTGAAGCGTTCCGATAGTTATCTTAAAGATATTTTACCTCTTAAACAAAGAAAAGAAAAACATATATGAACATGATAAAGGAAAAATTACACGTTAGACAATAACAACAAGATCAGCAAAACGATTACTGACAACGAAGGTTATAATATTTTCTAAAATATTCAAAATGGTTTTTTATTCAAATAACACAACCGTGCCAGATATTCTAATACCAAAACATTGAGCATTCTATACTCTTTTGATGTCTGCATCTCATAAATTTTGTCGATACTTTTATGTTAATCTATATTATAAATTTTCACTGATTGTGTTGCTGATCTCGTTGTTTTTGTTCAATATATAATTTTTCCTTTATCATATTCATATATGTTTTCTTTTCTTTGTTTAAGAGGTAAAATATCTTTAAGATAACTATCGGAAAGCTTCAGTTGTCACTTTTTAATAATTGATGATTGATTCTGATTCCCAAGCAACTTGTCATCTCTTCATATGATAATGGATTTTGGTGCATTTATTTTTGACATCATCAAAGATGAACCCATATACAAATTTAATAGAACAACGTTTCAGATCTCTATCATACATTTCTAATAGACAACTAAATATATTATTACATAAAACTATTAACGGCTATCGAACGTAAACTTATAGTAGAAAAACATGAAAAGAAAAAGTGATGAATTATTTTTGAAAAATATTTTACTAGATATTTCATTTTATTTTATATACGAAACTGTTTTTTTTTTATTCATAAAGAATAAGTAAATAACTGAGAAATATCAGATATCTATAGGGTAGTCTGTAGATAATTAGACGATAATAATAATACTTCAATGTCTTCAAGCTAATCTAAGTAATCAGACCAGTTTTTTTTTTCTCAATGATAGAGATCTCTTCAAATTCTTTCATTGCAAAGAAATTATCAATAGCTTCTGTTTTGAATTAGTATTATTGATCTCAATAAAAGAATACATTCTTGATCGAAAGTATTCTTCTATCATGTCAACTATTTCTAACACTAAATATTTGAAACTTATAGTTTATGTACTATTACTTTATAAATCTACTTCAATAAGATTGAAGAACAATTATGACGGAGGATAGTTTTTCTCAATATGAAGAAAAAATGAAATTTACGTTTCGGTCAATCTGTCATTATGTAAAGTAGTGTCTACGGTCAATGACTACATAGTATTAGGTTCATTAGCCCATATTAGTTTCTTGTCGTTTCGAATTATAGAACGCATAGTAAGAAGCATTGTCATAGATTATAATTCAAATCAAACTAATGAAGTTCACTTGATTTCACTGACCTATATTTCTCCGATAGTATCTATGAGAAAAATATCAGATAGGTAGTCGTGACAATGGTTGAAATTTTTTTTGTCTACTAATACATTTCTTCATTTAAGTCAATGTTCTACATAGAATCTATTTGATAATTTCCTTATGAATGAACACTTCGAAGAGGCTTCAATTATCGAGTAAAAAGATCAACACAATTGATTAAAGAAAAGTAGATATGTTAAATCTTTTTATTGTCGAATTATTTATCGTTCACCGTACTTAATATTACTCATATAAAACAATCAACAATAGATCCTATCTTCTAACTTACCGTGTGTATAGAAGATTTTTTTTTATAACGGTTTTTTTTTCTATTGCTTTCTTTTATTCTTATTTGAAGCCTTTTATAATTGGAAGAAATGCTGAATCGGCGATCTCCTTTTGCAAAAAAAAAACCGAATATAAATTAATAGTCACTTATTATTCATTCCAATATGCGCATATATATATATATATAATATTGATGTTTACTGGGAGCTTAATCTCAAGATACATATAAAAAGCAATCACCCAGTTAGTTTTCTTTTGGCATTGTCAATGATGATATTGGTTAGAAATGTCTTATTTTTACTTCAAAGTAAAAAATTATTTGAGAAAAAAAGGTTTTCTTTTTTTTTGTTATCTTTTCCAAAATTAAGTCAAAATCCCATGAGACTGATAATGAAAAATAAACAATAGTATTTAGACTGGTGTGATGAATAACATTAAAGTCTTAATTTCAAGTGAAGATAATTTTCTAATTTATATTCTTTTACAATTATAATTAACTTAGAAAATAGACTTTGTTTTTTTTCTTCTCCTATGTAAAAACTAAGTAGAAAATTTTTGATCAATTCAAATATACTGTTATACATAGACCTCTATATCATATTTATCCTTATCAATATAATATAACTATTACCCACAATCATTGTTATCATTTGTCTACAATGATATCCAACCATGTGTTATCAATGTACTAAGTTCATTATATACATATTTCTTCTATTATCGTTGACCTATTTTATTTATTTTTTTTTTTTTGAAAAATAAATTTTAATAAATGATAAGAATTTTATTAAAAAAAGCAATTGCAAACTATTTTGATGAGTCATTATTTCGTTTTTTTTCTTCTTTTGCGTTCTCTCTGCCACGTCTTATTGCTTGCTGAAACAACAAAAGGACAAACAATTATTTCATATGATTCTTTAGATGAACATTTATTTTTGTGGTAGTATTCGAGGTGGTCGACAAGATGTGGCTATTTATCAACAAATTGTTGCTTGTCTTAAATCATATGGCAGAGTTTTAACTGAACATGTTGCTTTTCCTGAATTAGAAATTAGTATGTTGAAAAATATAAAAAGATTTATTTATTAATAATTTCTTTTTTGTTTTTACAGTAGAAAAAAATTTGAACGATGCTGAAATTCTTGAACGTGATATGCAATGGTTATCTCAAGCTCAGGTAGTTGTTGCTGAAGTAACACAACCATCATTAGGTGTTGGTTTTGAAATAGCACGAGCTATTACATTAAATAAGCCTGTACTTTGTCTATTTCGACCTTCTTGTGGATTACGTAATGATGATTTGGAAAAAAAAATTAACTTTTTTATTATTTGATTCTTTTTTTAAAGGTCTTTCAGCTTTAATACGTGGTTCGGCAAATAATCGATCATTTTTTGTTGGTAATTATGAACAACGTGAAGATTTTGAAAAATTTATACAAGAATTTATGGGTTATTGTTCGCAAAAGCGAACAGTTTGATATAAGATAATATTTATATTATGATGAATCATTGTCTTCTTGACGTTCTTTTTTTTTTGGTTTCTTATTACTCAAACTAGTCATTAAGGAATTTTGTTTTTTTTCTTCATATGCATTTTAGATTGATTATTAAATTAGATAAAAAAATGGGTTTAACTTTTTCAAGTATTTTTCAACAATTATTTGGTAAAAAAGAAATGAGAATTTTAATGGTTGGTCTTGATGCTGCTGGTTTGTTTTATTTAAAAAAAAATAAAAGAAATCATATTTTGAATTTGTTCTTTGTTTTTTTTGCTGTTTAGGTAAGACAACAATTCTTTATAAACTTAAATTAGGAGAAATTGTAACAACAATTCCAACTATTGGTAAGTAATTTATATTATTAATAATGAAAGAAACATTCGATTTTTTTTTTTTAATTTAGGTTTTAATGTTGAAACAGTTGAATATAAAAATATTAGTTTTACTGTTTGGGATGTTGGTGGTCAAGTAAGAATAATCAAGAATTTTTTTTTGTTTTTTTTTGTATTATTAATTTAGGATAAAATTCGTCCATTATGGCGACATTATTTTCAAAATACTCAAGGTCTGATTTTTGTTGTTGATAGTAATGATCGTGAACGTATTGGTGAAGCACGTGAAGAACTTCAACGAATGCTCTCAGAAGATGAACTTAGAGAAGCAATATTACTGATTTTTGCAAATAAACAAGTAAAAAAAAAAACAAAAGTTCTTTTTTTGTTTTTTTCTTAATGTTACATTTTATTAGGATTTACCTAATGCAATGAATGCTGCTGAAATAACTGATAAATTAGGTCTTCATTCATTACGTAATCGTAATTGGTATATTCAAGCAGCTTGTGCTACAAATGGTGATGGTCTTTGTGAAGGACTTGATTGGTTATCAAATCAATTAAAAAATGTGAAATAAATTATTTATATGTATTTCATGAATTAAATATATTTATTGTTCGAATTGTTTTCTTTTTTTTTTTTTAATAAAAAATTGTCTTAATTATATTTGTGATTTTCTTTGTTAACTTTCATTAATTAGTCAATAGACTTTACTAATTATTGTTGGTTATTCATTGAATGAAACAATTTTTCATTTATTTGTTTATTCGAATTGTTAACATTTTTCTTTTTTTTTCTTGTTAATTAAATTTGAAAAATAAATGAAAACATACGAAGTATTTTTATTTTTAAAGAAACTATTTATGTTTAATATTCGAGTAAATTTGATTCTATTAGATTAATTAATGAATCTTTGATTATTAAAATTTTTAATTGTATATTCAAAACAAATGATATATTTAACAATATTAAAAGAATTGAGATAAATATATGAGAGAAAAAAAATTATTTTTGACTTTTTGAAATATTTGTATTGTATTTTGAGTATAGATTAATTTCAATATGCTATTTTAATATACTAAATCAAACGGTGAGTTATTTTAATAAATTGTTTTTTTTAAGTTTTAGATTGATTATAAAATTTTTTTCCATAAATCTATCTACTTTTCAATAGATTTATTCAAAAAAAAAAAAAAAGACGTAAGTTCACATTTGCATGCTCAATTTCACAATGGTTCTACTCAATTATGTTCAATGTATAAGTTAATGTAAATATTTATTTCTTTATTGAGAGATACTAGTCAGTAGTTGTTTTCTTGAAGGTGAACATAACATCTATAAAAATTATTTAAATCATAGCTTTTCATATTTACTTCATTAAGACTTGATTAGTATATAGATCGTAAATGTATTAATTATAGAGAGGTGAAGAAATTAAATTTGAAGATTGACTCACGTCTGTTACTCCATAATCATCAATGAACTTTAGTTGTTTGAGAAATATGTAGGTTGCGTCTATTGGCCAGGCAGATCTACAGCAGAGGATGTGGAGCGACCGCACTCCCCTTTGGTACTGATTTCATGCGACTTTCTAGCGATTTGTCTACAAAATATCGTATTTTTATCGTAACCTCACCCCCCTTCGAAAGTTCCTGGATCCGCCACTGGTCTATTGAGTATATTAAGTATGGTTTGATCGGGTCTTAAAATTTAGTGTTACTGATTATGTCGAAGATTTTGATTAGTTTTTGAAACAATCGAAAAATATTTAAATGAATTTGATGTTTTATATGAACTACTTTCTTTCATGTTTTTTTTGTATAGATTTTATTTATTTGTTGTTTGTTATAACTTGAAGAATGGAAACATGGCCTGAAGAAGTTATTCGAGCAGTTAATAGGTTTGTCTAATAAAAACTTGTTGTTTTTTTTCTAAACTCTTAATATTCAAAATTAGATCAAAATTTGGTCGTGATGAAACAAAAAAATATGAATTAATAGTTTATAAACCAATTCCATCGATTTTACAAGATGGTCCACAGTAAATAATATGATTATAATTAAATTTGAATGATTATTTTTATTCTATATTTTATAAGATGTGGACTTGTTGCTCTTGCAATGGCTATGAATATTCATTCATATAATATAACAGTACAAAATATATTTGAAAAAGCTAAAGAACTTTTATATACAATTCAAGGTGAATTATTCGATGGTAAAAAAAAAGAAAACATTTGAAATTTTATTAAATAGATTTTATATTTTTTCATTTTTTAGCTCGTATAATTCCAAATCTATGTAAACAATTTAATTTAAAAGCTACACTTCATCAATGGACAAATATAACTGATCTTATTGAATGTTTAAAATCAAATTATGTTTGTCTTGTTCCGTAAATAATAAGATTTTATTTACAAAAATTATTTTTTTTTTTTAAATTAGATATGATTCTGATGCAAATCATGAACCATGTCTTAAAAAAGGTTATCGAGCACATTGGCTTCTTGTACATGGTTATTTACAAGAAATAACAATATCGTCATCGAATAATTATGATTTAATATTAGTACAACATGGAAAAAGTAAAAATCTTGGTGCATTTTCACTTTTAGATCTTTTTCAAAGTAATGGTCAATTAATTGAAACTGATCCTAAACGTCGAATTGAGTCAGATTATTGTGTACCACAAGATGGATCACTTCGAGAAAGTTTATGCAATTTATTTATTGCAATATAATTTATAAAGTTTTGTTTTTTGTTTTTTTATTGAATAAAAAATTAATTGAATGTTTTTGATAAAAGAAATTCTTACCAAATTAACAAAAATTACAATGTTTTGCATTTTGTAGATCTCATAAAACAGTAATAAGTATAACAAAATTTGTAGACTTCGTATTTTTGAGAGATAAGAACTTTTAAAAATATTTACAAAGTATCAAAAAAACGTCTACTGTTGAAGAAAAATATATAGCGTCGAAGTACAAGGTTTACTAACACTGAAATTCGACTTATAATCTACCCTTATATGTGAAAGAATAAATTCAAAAGATATGACTTTTATGTAAAAATATTCAAAATTCAATAGAAAATAAAGTGCTGTTGGAATTTTTCATTAGAATACTATGTAGTATTTATAATGAAAGACTTATCGAAATCGGAAATAGACGCCCGAAGAGGTTCTCTTATAATTCAAACTTGAAAATGCAAATTTTTTGTTTGATATTAATCAGTAGTTATACTATATTCATATGACATTTGTTTTGCATAATCCGAATCGAATTTAAATTATATTGCTTAGTAACACAATTCAAACATTTTTTGATGTCGTATGTCTAATATAGACATGCGACATCTAGCAGCATTTTACCAATGATCCAATATATTTCTAGTGGTAAATAAATAAACAATACATTATTGTATTTATGATCGTGCCGAGAAAAAAAAAAGTGCATAATTGTTCATTGTATATGATAATTTGAAAATAACAAATTGTTTTATATTTCTAAATGTTATTTGAAGGTCCACTTAGTAAGTGGACAAATGTTATTCATGGTTGGCAATATCGATTTTTTGTTCTTGATCCTACACAAGGAATGCTTATTTATTATACAGTAAGAAATAAATATCAATAATAAAAAAAAGAAAATTTTGTATTATCTCTAGTCCAAAGAAAATATGGTCAAAGGTGAACAACGTGGTGTGGTTTTATTAAAGGTGAATCAGAGATAATAATGTAAATAAGATTTGAGTTTGTTTTTTTTTATTTAGGATGCACATTTAGGTATTGATTCAGAAGATGATAGTACAGTAAGAATCTATCAATAAAAATCTTTTATTTATTCTTACTTGTTTTATGTTTTTTTTTTTGTAAGTTTACAATACGATCAAATGGTAAAACATTCCATTTTCAAGGTACTTTTGTTTTGTTTTTTTTTGTTTTTATCTTATCTTAAAGTCTGATTTTATACTTCGTTTTTTATAGCTCGTGATGCTGAAGAAAGACAAAAATGGATATCAAATCTTGAAGACGCTATTTCTCTTAATACATTTAATACAGTATGTTAGTTTATTTTTTGATGTTTATTTAGAAAATAATTTTCATCAGGATAATTTAACACGTTCAAATAAAACAATATTTCAACGTAAAATTACAGAAGCAGACGCTTATTTACAAATATTAATTGATCAAGTTAATGTAAGAATTTGTTTTATGAAGAAATTTTTTTTTTTTTTTTGTGTTTTAAAGTTTTATATTTTAGGAATTAGAACAACTTAGTAATCAAGTACAAGATAGTAAAGAACGAGAATGTTATAATCGTGTTGTTTTATCTGCTAAAGTATATATATATAGAATAGAATTTTAAATAAAGAAATTTTTATATGTTTTTTTTTTCTTAGAGATTAATCGAAGCTGTTAAATATTCTATTTTATCACTTCAATTAGCAAAAGTAAATATTTTATAATTAATATAATAGAGAATTGTATCAGTTTTTTATATTGAATTATAAAAATGATATTTATTTGAAGTTAAATGACTATTTGAATATAAGTCAAAAAGAATACAAATTGAGTATCAAGTATAGTAGTTTGAATCATATTATTTTACTAAATATCAAATTTCATATTTAAAATAATTTCCTTGGAAAAGTCATATGAGTTTTCTTATAAAAGCTCGTTCTCTTGAGAATTAGTGCGTTACTAAGAACTTTATTTTTTATCGTTTGTATTCTAGTCAAATGATGATATTTTTTTTCAGTTCGAACTTAGAATTTCATGAAATGAAGAAGTCAAAATTTGAAAAATATTGAGATAATTGTATCAAATTAGTTCGAATCGAAAAAAATAAATATCACATCTCGAATGAAAAAAAAAAATTAGAACTCATCAGTAAAATTTTTTTTTGATGATTTCGAATCTTCTCTCTTGAATAAAAAAAAAATGTGAAGATCATTCTAAATTTGAAATGAATAGTAGTTTAAAAAAAGAAAAATCATACATATTTTTACAGTTTTACTATTCAAATGGGCCATCATATCCTTCTATGGATGAACAATTTTTTGAAATGGTAGGCTTAGTTATAAAATTCTGACCAAATGCATTGCTATTTCTAACAAAAAATAATTTTTTATATATATTAAAAAAAAAAAATATTTCGGATTATTTTTTATAGGTACATATGGATTCACCTAATGATACAAAAACTGATGTTGATTATCGAACTTTATTATCAGATATGAATATTAATAAAGGTGGTATTAAAAATTCTTAATTCATTCTCAAATGATTTTAGTTTGTTTTTTTGAATAGATGAAATTCCTAATAATGAAATATCGTTAAATATTGCTCAAACAATATTACCAAATGAAAAAATTATCGAAGATAATAATTTAATTGAATGTATGTAAAACGTTTAGTTTTTTGTTTTTTTATATTTGAATTATTATTGTCTTTTTTGTATAGCTTTAGATTTTCATACAGCTGTAAAAACTGTTCGAAAAAAATTTCCTATATCATCATATTCAAGTAGTGATGATGATAATGATTTTTATGATGCTGATGAATCAATTGAGTAAGATATATATATTTGATTTTTTTATATGAATGATATAAAAAAATTTATTTAGTGCATCAGTTTTTGCAACATCTTCAAATCAACAAATAGATGAAAAAATAACAATAAATGAAACATCGTAAAAATTAAATTCAAATATTTTTTTTGTTTTAATTTTTATTTTAGTCTTACAAATGAATCACAAATACCATTTGAAATTTATGAAGCTGCTTATGAAGAAGGACTAGAAGAAGATCGTAAATTATTTGAACAAAAAAAAAAAAAAAAAAAAAAAATTCTATGTTTTTAGTTGCACCTATTGATGGAACTATTATTTCACATTTAATCTCTCAAGTAAAGAAAAATATTTATCACATAGATAATATAAATGACTGAAAATTGTTTTTTTTTTTCAAAGGCTCGTATATCAATGGATTTAACAAAAATAACATTACCAACATTTATTCTTGAACGACGTTCTTTTCTTGAAATGCTTGCTGATTTTCTTGCTCATCCTGATGAATTTGTTAAGTAAGAATTTAAATTAAAAGAAGAATAAAATTTTTTTTTAAATAATTTCTTTATTAGTATAACTGATTATCAAACATCACGTGAACGTTTTATTCAAGTTGTTAAATGGTATTTATCAGCATTTCATGCTGGACGAAAAAGTTCTGTAGCTAAAAAACCATATAATCCAATACTTGGTGAAACATTTCAATGTTTATATGATATTGGTTCATCATCTTCAAATGTTAATATTTTAAATTTATTCTTTTCCAAATATATGAACTTTTATTTTATTTTTTTTTGTACTATAGACAACATTAGCAAAAGATGGTCCTGTTTCATGGGCATTAGATAATAATGTTACTTTTATTGCTGAACAAACATCTCATCATCCTCCAAGTAATAAAATACTTAGGATAAATCAAAAGTTCGTAGAACGGTGTTTAAAGAACCTTGTCGGATAAGGTAACTTATTCACAAATATACCATGTTGTAGAGCTTTTTGAGATGCGTCGAATGGTATATATAGTAAATCCTGTTTTCATAAGACTTTGAAGGAACTAGAATCAATTTACTGATAGACGACTACACACCCACACTGACAAGATGACCTGAGATGCTACATATATGAGGTTGTAGCCCGTCAAAAACTCTGCAAAATCGTATGTGAGAAAAAATATTTTACAAATACTTTCGACTAATCCCAAGGACCACAATATTCAGTAACCTATCATACTCAGGTGAGGGTGTGAGTATGGGTGCGTAGTAGAGAGCTGCGGGTCCTTCCAGACCCGGGTCCGGGTCTAAATCTAAGAGAAAAGTCGGACCCGGTCTGCATTAAGTTATGAATGGAAATATATAACAATAACAATTGAAGTCAACAAAATTGAGAAAGAAACAGTCAAAAATAATTTTACACTCATTTTACCTTTAACGTCGCCAATAAAGGGCTAAAATTGTGTTCCCTTTTCTGTTCATGTACACCTAGGGTGCCAAATATTGGTGAAAAAAGGATCGGGTCCGGGTCTGAAAATTTAGTTTTTCTGAGGTCCGGGTCCAAAAAAAAATGGACCCGCAGCTCTCTAGTGCGTAGTCGTCTATCAGTAAATTGACTCTAGTTCTTTCAAAGTCTTATGAAAACAGGATTTATTACATACCATTCGACGCGCCTCAAAAAGCTCTACAACATAGTATATTTGGTTTTTCATTTCTGAATAGATTACCTTATCCGACAAGGTTCTTTAAACACCGTTCTACGAACTTTTGGTTTGCCTTAAGTATATTTGAATAAATAATAATAATAATATTATTATTATTTAATAGTTGCTTCTTTTTATGCTGAATGTCCGGCAAAACATATTCAAATAGATGGATGTCTATGGACAAAATCAAAATTTCTTGGTCTATCTGTTGCTGTGCATATGATTGGTGATGCAACATTAACATTACTTGATCATGATGAACGTTATGTTATAACATTTCCAAGTGCTTATGGACGGTAGATAATTAATTTAATTAGTTTTTATATAAAACTATTATTATTTAGATCGATTCTTGGTGTACCTTGGTTTGAAATGGGTGGTAAAATAAGCATTGATTGTGAAAAAACAGGATATTCAGCAAATATTGAATTTTTAACAAAAGTATGTTTTTTCTTGATAGAAAGATTTTAAAAATGACTGAAAAGTACGATAAAAAAACAAAAGCATAATATTTCATGACTTGTTTTTTTGAGGGTGAATTAAATCATCAGATAGATGCAAAGATTTAAGATTTCGCAAAAAAAGTAGATTTGAAGAATTTTTTTTTCATTGATCTGATGATTGAACAGTTTTCTGATATTAACTTTTATCTATTATGATTCAAAATGTGTGTCTGAAATTAAATCTGGATATAGCCTTGATTTAAAGAACTATAAGATCAAGTTCATTTAGTCTCGAATTAGAAAAAAAACTATTTCGCATTACTTTATAATTATTCTTTTTTTATATATAATTTGCTTAAAACCAGAGATATTCATATTATATTTTTGATGCCTCACGGGGACATTGCCCTACAAGTTAAATTTTATGAAAATTTAGAGAGACTAACTTTTTTTTTTAATTCAGTTTATTTTTAATCAAGGATAGTACTTATTATTAAAATGAATGTTTTTTGTTTGTTTTTAATAGCCATTTTATAATGGAAAGAAACATCAAATACTTGGTACTTTATATGGTCCAGATAAGAAAGAATTTTGTAAAATAGATGGTGAATGGAATGGTGTAATGAATGCTAAATATAGTGATAGTAAAATATCGGAAGTTTTTTTTGATACAAAAAAAACCGCAGTTATTAAAAAAATTGTTCGGCCAATTGCTGAACAAGGTGAATATGAAAGTCGTCGGTATGAATTAATTAAAATGAAAATAAAAATAAAAATTTTTTATTTATTTGTTTTTGTTTTTTGCATTTAGTCTATGGAAAGATGTAACTTATTATCTTAAATCTAAACAACTTAATAAAGCAACTGCAGCAAAAACATTTCTTGAACAACGACAACGTGAAGAAGCAAAAGAACGTAATGAAAAATCAATTAAATGGCAAACAAAAGTAAACAACAAAAAAAAAATCAATTTTAATTTATATTTAATTAAAATATTTTTATTTTAGTATTTTACTGAATCGGGTGAATTAAAATGGACATATGAAAATAAATTAATTAAACGTTTAAAACAATAATTTTAGCTTTAAAATCTTTTATTTTTATTGTTTTCCGATTGTCTTCTTTTTTTTTGTTTTCTATTCGTTAATCAATAATTTATTTATTTCTTTTGTTTTAATTATTTATGTATAATTATTTTACCGAGTGACATTGCAATTTATCTCAGTCTGTCAGATTGAGTTTCATGTTCTATAAAAAAAAGACAACAATAAAAACCATTTCCGAATAGAATTACTGTTTTTTTTTTTCTTCTGTTATTAATATCTTCTCTATGACATAATTTAGATATTTCTATAAACAAAAAGAAAACATGTCAGCAGCTGCTGTTTCATCAGCTAAAACAAGTTCGTCATCGGCTGGACGACCTGTTTTGAAAAATTTAACTCGAGCACGAGTACCTAGAGCTGGTTTGATTGGTTGTAGTCTTGCTGTTGTAGCTGCTCTTGCGTGCAAATTTTTGGTATCTGATCGACATAAACGTCAAATATCATCATTTTACAAGTAACTATTAAATTCTTGCTTTTTTTTTTGTTTAAAAAGAAAATTGTTTTCAACATGGATTTAACGGAAGTAAAGGTTTCGCAAAAAAAAAACAAAAGTTTCTCTTGATTACACAGAGCGATTGAATTCATAGAAAATGAGATATCTTCGAGCTCTTGGCAATATGTTTTTTACGGAATCGTACAAATTTAAAGAGAAGTTTAATAAGGAAGCTCATCGAGTCTAAAATTTACTAATCGAAATCAGATAATTATCTAGGAGATACGCCATAGGTTTTTTTTTCTCAGTCTTTTGTATTCGATGATTAGTGCAATGAGAGAATTGTATTGCTGTAGAGATGCTGCACTTTAATGGTATTTTTTTTTAAATTAACCTGATGATGACAGAAAAATTTACATTCGACTCGAAATTTTGTATATTTCTCGAAATCTTGTTGGAAACAAATTTTTTCTATTCAAGCCGTTGTTTGAATTCTTTACGCGAGTTACTATTATGAAAAACAATCGAAATAGAGTTTTTATATATTGTTACGACAATATATTTTTTTTTTAAATATCACTCACTGGTTTTATTTTTTTTCACTAGAACTTATGATCCAGAACGAGATTATGCTCGTATGAAAGCAGCAGGTGTATTTAAGAGTCTTGGTAAGTTTATGTTGTTCTTTTTCAAAAATAATGAAAACATATTATTGGATTTTCAGAGAGTCAAGAACGTCCTGCATGGCTTAGTGATTATGAAAAAGAACTTGATGAAGCTATTGCTTCAATACAAATAACTAGTGGCAGCAAATAGTAAAAGAATATATTCTTAGGATTAAAAAAAAAAATTATCATATCATATGGTATTATTTAGATTGAACTAATTGCTGCTGCCGACGATGAGTAATTATCCATTGCATCCTTGGTAGCAATAGATTCAAGAAAAAAAAAACCAAACAAAACATTTCTCTCATTCCCATCTTTTTTTTCTTCTTGTGTTTTTCGATCCATCAATATAGCTCCATAAGTCCTTTTTGTTTCCCTTGCTCATTTTTTTTTTCTTTTTGTAATAAACCTTCTAGTTGCCTGAAAAAATAATTTTACTATATAACATCAGATTTTTCTCAAGAACAAAAATTCATATCAAATTGTGTTGCTTTTTCTTAAATTATAAGAGATGCAAGTGTAATCTGACGCCAAACGTCAGTCGCCGCTATCTGCATATTGTTCTACTTAATTAGATTATTTCTTTTTTTTTTTTGCTTTCCTATTTACATAGCGAAAGAAAAAATATGACTTGCTGCATCACTTGTTTAATCATTTAAGTTTCTATTCAACGTCATCTTAGATTTGCGTCTCATCAATGGTGAATGATTGTTTGTCTGTTTTTTTGCAATTTACAATTGTATGACGTTACTATTCTATTTAGAGTTCATTTTCTACTGCAAAAGCTGAAGGTCAGTGAAAAGAATAAAAATGGATTTTTAATTATGTTTCTTCAGAATTTCGACAAGTTTTTGAATTATTCGATAAAAATGGTGATGGAACAATTGATGCAAATGAAATTGGGTTAGTATGAAAACTTATTTCTTTTGAAAGCTCTTCATGAATAATCTTTGTTGTTTGTTTTTTTTTTGTTTCAAAAACTAACGATTTAATTGAACAATTTATTAAGTATCTACTTATCATGATAGTTGAGATGTAAAGTACCGAGATTACGAGAAACAAAAGGTATTGAGAAAGAAGCTAGATTTAGCAAACTATTTCATATATATCACATCAATCAAAGCCAAATTCAGAATAGATCAGCAAAAAGAATGTGATATTTATCAACTGAACGAATCAAAATATAAGTTTTTAAGATGCTTTCTTTTTAGACTTAACGTGAATAAATGCTGAGAAAAATTTCTCTAAGTCAAAAACAGAATAGATTTAAATAGTGTTACAATAAAAACTGGATTTCTCTATAAAAGGATTCGATAGTTTGGTCAACTTTCAATAGGAATGCATATCCGTTTAGTTTTTTTATTAGAACACTATGTAGTATATGTATGCAAAAATTCATCGAAATAGGAAGAAGATATCTAAGGGGAAGCTCTCTTATGCTTAAGTCAGTAACGATGGATAGCATGTTGATTATGAATTAATACGAAAAAAAAAACAATTGGTTTTTTTTTATATGGTAATAAATTATATTTTAGACAAGTAATGCGTTCATTAGGATTAAATCCCACGAATAAAGAAATTGCTGATCTTATTGCTGAAGTAGATAAAAATGGTAAATATAATGAATTAGTAGTTTATTTATCGGAGAATTTTATTGTAAATTATTTTTCAGGTAATCAAATTTTAGATTTTCAAGAATTTGTTGCATTTATGAGTAAACATTGGCATGAACGTGATCAAGAAGTTGAATTGCGTGAAGCATTTCGACTTTTTGATCGAGATAATTCAGGTTATATAACGATCAATGAATTAAAAGAGGTTTTTTGTTTAAATCAGAATTATTTTCCTTGTTGAATGACCTTGTTTTTTGTTTTCAAGGTGATGCTTAATATGGGTGAAAAACTCAATCAAGAAGAATTAGAAGAGATGATGAGAGAGGTTTGTTATAAATGAAAAAAAAAACAATTTTGTTTGATCTTGACTCTCTTTAGGCTGATGTAAATAAAGACGGTAAACTTGATTATGAAGGTAATTTAATCTTATAATTTAGTTTTATTTAATTTTTTTATTATAGAATTCGTGCAAAAATTTCTTTCAACATCTTGAAGAATGAGACTGAACTCATTTTATCAGATTTGTTTTTGTCTTGTAATTTTTATTAAAATTAATTGCTCAGTTTATTGTAATTATATCATTTCGAATTAAATAATATACTATTCACGACATAACGGGTGGGGCAAAAGTTTTGCATTAATTTTGTTCAGAGTGTGGGTGTGAGTATTATCTTCATCTACATACACTCACATATCGTACAACTAAGACGCAACATTCTGGTCATGCACGAGATCTTTGTATTTCAATTTTGATATTGTCTATTCCACCAGGTCATTTACAATTCTACAGTAATAAGAAATCACTCATCGATGTTACTCCAACTTTATATCGACTATTACTAGCTAGTGTGAGAATTGAGAACTCGCCAAATGGTTCTGATGATTGTTGTTGAACTAATTGATGCATCCAACTTGCTACCCTCATATCTGGAGGAATTCTATAGTGTGTGATATTAGTATCAAATTTAATATAAAAACATGGTAGTTTGTTCAAATATAGCTCGTTGGAGATGAGCTGTAGGCAAGTAAGTTTGTTTATTTGTTGTTGTTGTAGAAGATGTTGTCTGAGGTGCTGATTGTACTGTTGGTTCATGAGGTCTTGGTTTTTTCTTTACTTATCTTTGAGATTGATTTTCACAGCCACTTTCCTCTCGTGATCACCGAGGAGTAGATGATGAAACTCGGTTGAACGTCAAGCTAGGTACTGATGTTCTCATTTGGTATTTCATTGATGTCTTCCATGTATGTTTCTGATGTTGATGATGCATTTGTTGAATGTGCTTGGGTGGTACGAGACAATCTATCAGTTGTGGTAAAGGACGTATCATTTGCTGTTGATTCGAGGATACAATGAATGATTGAGTATGATAACTCATACTATGTATCGGTTCTGCTTGTCCAGCTGTTGTTGCTTATATGTTTCGGTCATGTCTTGAGCAAATTGAAAGTCTTTCTTCATTTAGTGGTATCCATAATCGAAGTCGATCTGGCCATCGATTATTTTGATCTTCTCATGAGATACATGTTCGTTGGCCATATATCAGTATAGACTCAGTTTTCCTTTATTTATTTTTCTTATATAGTATAACAGGAACGCAAAAAACAAGAAATTACCGCTTATCACTACGTGTCTTTATGTAGAAGTAGGTTTCGTTCTTCTTTCATCTCACCTCTCAAGAAAGATCAATTAGGACAATAGTATTTCTATTATATTTCGAAGAATTTGATCGTCTGTTTAATTGAGAAAAATTACGTATCTTCATTCAACCGTAATCACTTGATGATAACTAAGGTAAGAAAATTGCTTTATTACACCTACAAGTTTTCTATGAAGAGGTATTTCGATATAAACGTTATCATGAAAAGGGTCTGTCAAAAAAGTGAATAATACAGGTTACAGCAGTGTTGATAGAGTACTGAAATTTACCACATCATGTCATATTGGTACTTGAGTATGTAAAGTAAAGAACTATGTTTTTGTTTGAATTACGATAAAAAACAATATTTTAAATATACAGATGAAGCTCGAAAGAAACGAATTAAAATCTTAAATCAAGTGGTTTGGTTAGTTCATATAATAGACTTAAATTCAAGTTCACTAGGCTATTCTCATCAAACTTAAAAGTTTTGATTCGACCCACGCCTAAATCTAGCCAATTCAACATTTGATTTCAGTATTATATGAGTCTTGTATGAAATTCAATTATCTTTTGATTCAAAAATCTAGACTAGCAAGCATGGAAAGTCTAGATAGTCACAGAATACAAAACTATTAAAGGTATGAAAAGCACAGCA